TGGTTCCCTGCTTCCTTGTCTTATGGAAATGTAACCTTTGTAGCTCTGTAGCCCTGTTTCTTCCATGGACCCCCCCTTAATTAAAAAAATTCCCTAAACCTGCCTTTTTCACCCCTTAAAATTCCTATTTCACAGTGGTGTGAGAAATGATCAGTTCCTGAATGACTGTAGCTCTTTGGGTTTGGAGAGGGGAAGGGGCAGGTCTGAGGAAAATGTAAGATGTTCAACTAGCAAGATAAATGATTTATTAGATATGAGAAGGGAGGAGAGGTAAGGAAACACATTTAACCAGCCCACAGATCTGAAAAGCAGGTTTGGTTAAGCTTAGGTAGGGCCTGCTGCTAGCTATTATTTCTCCACATGAGGCAGGCCTAGTCTTTAGTAGTCAATGTAAGCAAATGAAATCTAGGACAAGAAGGAACTGTATTTGCTTTTGGATAATAAGGCCAAGGGTATTATTAAAACAGATTAAGGTCAAAGACACATTATAAAAAAGTCACATTCTCAGAAGAAAATGAATCTTCAGGGTGGTGAATTATGTTAGATTTTAGGTACATTAGGATTAAACCAACATCTAAACTATGGCCTCCTTCCCCATTCTATCAAATGGCCCACAACTCCATTTGCACAAGGGTCAGCAAAAACCGAGTTGAAAGGAAATCTTTTAACAGTCTGGGAATGATGACAAAGGAAAAATTCGCAAGACTGGATTGGAGAGCTGGGCCTACATTGTTCTGTGGAGGGGAGGTAGGGTTTGAGGAAGATGGGGGCTGGGGCATGGAAAGGCTTGAAGGAGAGGATCTCAGTCAAAGGACGATGACCATCTTTTTGGAAAACTGTAGTAACTGTTTAGGATACCCAATGAAAACTTAAGCAATGAGGTTGTGTCCTTCTGGCAGTTTAAGAGTGAAAATTAGCCAAGCAAAAGGCAGAAATCTCATTGTCCTTGTTACTCCATATGGCTTTGGGATTCTTCTCTGCTCCCCCCTCCTCTTCCCCTCCCCTATTCCCCCCCCCAAGAGTTTCTGGGTTTGGGAATGGCTGTGGCAGTGGGGTTAGGGTTAAGAATAATCTCATTCCTTGACCAATGGATGCACAGCGGCTTGGTTGTGGCAGAATGCATGGGAGAACAATCAGCCAGCACTCTGAGGGAGGAAAGTTTAACCTTTATTTCTCAGATCTGCTAGCCCAGGGGAATTCCAGATCCAAAGTCTGAACTGAATTCATGGGGAGGCTCTGACCTATATATCTCCTCCTGTGGCAGGACCCTGAAGGTCCCCCCAGCTCCGCCCAAGTCAGCGGGGCCTTGGGGTCATGCTCCACAGCTCCGCAGCTCTGCCCTAGTCAGCTGTGGCAGGGCCCTGGGGTTAGGTTCTGCAGCTCCACCCAAGTCAGTCAGAGTGGGGCAGTAAGACTACAGTTTTAACCAGATACTGAACTAGGTTGCAAGCCCCCCCATTTTCCTTTTCAGCTTATGGCCCTACTATGGACAACAGGACATTGTGAAGGCATCAAATGGCAGACAATTCCCAGGTGGGAGCTATGGTAAGGCGGAGTCCCCTCCTTTTCTCTGTTTCTGAGATCAACTAGAGACATTAAGAGGACACAAAGGGGATGTACAGTTTCTGAGGTGGAAGGGGGTGAGGGCTGCCACACTCAGGAGTCATTGTTTGCTGATGAGTCTCAGAGATTCAGACTGAGGTTTCCACTTTTCATGGTGGGTAACTGTATATATTTCAACATTGGGTATGTGCAGGTGCTATTGATGAGGCAGAAAAAGAAAAAAATGTGTTGTGTTGTGCTAGAGTGCTCTGAGACTTGATACTCAGATTTCTTAAATTTTGGTGGCCAGAACCTGGGAGAAGCTGCTATTCTAAAGCAGGTTGTAGTTTTCTGATTTTTAAAAATCCTAACCTGAGGATATATTTTTTTTAAATTGATTTTTAGGGAGAGGAAGGAGGAGAAAGAAAAACATCGACTGAAGCTCAATCTGAGTATTCCCTGTAAGTAAAGTTCCAGCAAAATAGACCTGAAAGAGTCTATATAATCCATTACTATTCTTGTATTCATGCAAATAATCAAACCAAATTAAAACTAAACTTGATAAAATACTCTTTGATAAAAATGAGGGTAATTTTAGGAGGGAAAATGTTTCAATAGATTCTACATACATAGTTGTAAATGTTAGACTCTAGTTCAGTTCGTTATCTTCAAAGTTTTATTTTTCACCCATTAGCTAAACTAAACTAGATCCTGATTCTTAAATATTTTACTACAACCCTCTAAATTAATGTTTCATTTTTCTCTCATCCTTTGAGTTGAAATTATTTAACAACTGGAACTTTTCCTTTTATTGGACTATTTGTCATAATTCTTGTCATTCTAGCTTTTGCCCCAATAATATTAAAATTTATGAAACAGTTTGTATCCACCAGGTTACAAGGCCTACTTGTACTCAGGAAATACCACCCCTAGACACCATCACAACCTCCTTTAGTGCCCAGGCCTCATCATCCCTCTGACAGAGAGCAAGGATCTTTTGCTTTGAAGGAAAACGTCGCCCCCTTTCAGCAGGTAGCAGCTATAGAAGAGACCCTATGCCCCTTTTCTCTGAAAGAATTCAGTGCCAAGATTCTTGAGGGGGCATGTGGTAGGCAGACAGACATAAGCAGAGCAGAGACAATGGGTCATCCAGAGTTGTTAGACCCTCAGAGCAAGGACAATGGGCCAGGTACAGAAACCCACCATGGCAGAAAGCTCCAGATGCCTACCAAGGGGCAAAACTGGGAAAACAAGAACCTTGCCCCCAGGGCAACCTATCCTCCCCCTAGCATATCACTGGTCATACAGTTTGGACCTTGGATCTTTCATATCACTGGTCAGGCGGTTTAGACCCCTTAACCTTTTCCTCCCTAAAGATAACATTTAGGCCTCAGTTGCATTTCAGCACCAGAACCAGAAAAGCAGCAAAACCAGACAAGTGACACCATGGCTGCCTCAGGACCAGCTACATTGATTAATGACCCCTGCCCTGGTGCAGACCAATCAGCGGAGATCACGACCCTGAAAGAGCACACCTGGAAAGCTGATGACTTCTATTAAGATCCTCCCCTGAGAACTTCCCTAAGATTTCCACCTGCAAGAAAGAGATGAATGCACTCAGGACAAAGGATCCAGTGCATGCTCTCCCTCCTGTGCCATTCCCCCACCCCACCCCCCAGGAACATATCCCCTAACCTCTAAGCCAAGGGACCCCATGAGACTTGCAACCAGGGAAGCAATGGATAGTGGCTGCTCATCCTGGGCTAACCCCCTGCACCTGCTCCAAGGCCCCTTTTTCTCTGTGTAGCCCTTCCTGTTGGATATCCCCACCTTCCATCCCATTTTCCTTAAATAAATCCAGTTTTCTTTAATCACTGCCTGAGATGGCTATTTAGCCTGCCAGAGTACCACAATGTTAATCTTTCAGTTGCCTCCTGTACGCACCCAACCAGGGATCAAACCGGCAACCTAGTATGTGTCCTGACCAGGAATCAAACCCACAACCTTTTGGTGTACAGGCGACACGCCAACCAATTGAGCCGTCTGATCAGGGTTCTGATTTATTTTTTGAATGAAGACTGATCTTTTGTTTTGAGGAATCTCTTCTCATACGTGCATGGTGTTCTTAGTTTGGCAAAAGCAAAGACCAACTCTTAAAGTGGAATGGACAGCTGGGACACTGCTAAACTGCTCTGCAAAAAAAAAAAAAGCCAGCATTAGTCTTAAATTATGAAATGGGTTGGGTTGCAGGTGGGAGGGAAATTCTTCTCTGTTGGTGGCTTGTAAGAGATGTTGAGAAGAGTGGAGAGATGACCTTGGGGGAAGGAGAGTCCTTTGGGGAGGCAATGGGCTGTAGATGCTGTGCTTGCAATAGTCACTTCTAAATCTTCTAGGCCAGTGGTTCTCAACCTTTCTAGTGCCACGACCCTTTAATACAGTTCCTCATGTTGTGGCGACCCCCAACCATAAAATTATTTTCATTGCTACTTCATAACTGTAATTTTGCTACTGTTGTGAATCGTAATGTAAATATCTGATATGCAGGATGTATTTTCATTGTTACAAATTGAACATAATTAAAGCATAGTGCTTAATCACAAAAACAATATGTAATTATATATGTTTTCCGATAGTCTTTGGCGACCTCTGTGAAAGGGTCGTTAGACCCCCAAAGGGGTCGCGACCCACAGGTTGAGAACCGCTGTTCTAGGCGCTGTAATTCTGCTAATACTGTATTCTCAAACTTTCAGTGACAGCCTAGTGTTAGCTGTGTACAGGAACTGCCCCTGCCCCCAAGCCAGAGTGGCGGTAGCCAAAGGTGGGTAGCTAGTGGTTCTGAAGCTCTAGGGGAGTGGCTTGCGGCCGAATTTCAGAATATTATTTATTGAACAAATGATGAATAGAGCCAATTGTCTTGTAACTTGTAATCTCGTCTCTCCCAGAAGACTTCTAGGGTGGAGGATTGGTGCTGGTTCTCAGACCCGGGTTCAACTTCCAGCTCGCTTTATAACCTTAGGCACATTACTTAATCGCTCTGTGTCTCGATTTCCTTATTTATTAAAAAAAAAGGGGGGGGGCACAAGATTCTCCATTGCCTGTGGTTGCTGGGAGAAACGAAGGTGACAGTGCCTGTCAAGTACAAGGTAGAAGCAAAATGAAGGGCTCCTTCCACGGCAAACACTTGTTAATTCATCTGACCTACCTTTCTCTTGGGCACTCAAGCACGTACTGAGCGCCTCCTGTAGTTCAGGCCCTCGGAGCGCCCCCTCCCTGGTGTAGAAGCCTCACGTGCAGCCTGTGGGCCTTGTCCCGCGGGCCGCCTCAGGATTGGCTCCGCCGAAGGGAAGAGCCCCACCCACATCCCTTTCGCTCTCACCCCTGATTGGGCCGGGGCCAGCCCTTAGGGTGCGCGTGCGCAGATCGAGGGCGAAGATGCCTTCCGGTCGGGAGGGAGGAGGTGACGTTGAGCGCGGAGGCAGGCGGGGTCCTCCCGTAGCCCTGGGGACGTTGTATGTGTGGGCCTGCCGCTCGCGTCACCAGTCGGCGACTGAGCCTTGGCTGTGGTGGCTGAGGCGGCGAAGGCGGCAGCGGCGGCGACAGCTCTGGGGTTTGCGTCTCGGGGTGTGTCGGCCGCCGCTGCTGCTTCGGCTTGGTATGTACAAATGGCTGGTTAGGATTCTCGGCACCATTTTCCGCTTCTGCGACCGGTCGGTGCCCCCTGCCCGGGCCCTGCTGAAGCGACGGCGCTCGAACAGGTGAGTGTAGAGGGGAGTGGACAC